TGCTTCATTTTTGTATTGATTATTTATGTTAAATAATCTTATTGTAGGATAGACCTAATGGAAACATTGAATTTTAAGATCTTGTAGCAGATTAAGCACCATTCGCAAAATACATATCAAGTAATAATCATGCATTCATCATATTGTTCAGAATTATGTTTGATCTTCTCTATATTCTAAGAAAATACTGAATTTCCTTGTAGGTATTATTCAAACTCACTGTGGTCACATGATCCAGATGATGAAAACATAAACAGATTTACTAGAGTTTCTCATTCAAAATAACATATTTCATTAATGTCATATTTCCCCATAAGATTATTAAGTACAAGCATTGTTTGTTGTATGTAACTGATTAAAATACATGTATTTACTTCAAATTGTCATGTATAGCCTTACATGAACACTGTACTCAAGGCAAGTTGCATAAATCATCTGGGGAAGATGTAAACATACTACTTACAAAATATTAAATTATATGCCTAAGCCTGATACAATTCAATGTATTTACTTTAATTCTATTACAAAGAAATATATGTTTTTGAAGGTAAGCTACGTGTACATGCATCAGCGTTCGTTCGTTCGTGTCTCCTTAGATCAAGATTACTGTAATCTTGATCTTCGGAGTAGTTGCTACAACCGGCCGTGTCAGACACGTTGCCCCGGGGTGCGAGATAGGACTCTTGTAGCGTGCCCCCATTTAAAACAATTATACAGTTACAGTTAACAATACATTTAATTAATAGTATGAAACTATTAAAATTACTCTCACGTTACGGGAAAAAATATTGCATATACATATATTATGCATCAGCACTAAGGTATTAAATAATTGATAACAAATGTGCACTTTGAGTATCACTTTGTTGCTATTTATTATTAAGATGGAAGTTTCATCATCGCTTAGAACCAGAAGGGCTTAAACTCATGAAATAGTGAAAGCCCCTCTAAAGTGTTGGGAGCCCCAAATTTGCCAAAAAATTGATGGCAAAATTTCACTTAAATTGTACCGTAATGTGAAAGAGGATGTCATTAAAGACACACTTCTGCAAGGATTCCCCCCAAATGTGTTTAAAGACAAATATTGATAATGGGTTTTCTGTTGTCCATAAAAAACCTAGATTTTGTATTCTTTCATCAATATTTGATTTCTAACACATTTAAAAATCCTTGCAGAAATGTGTTTTAAATGACATCCTCTTTCACACTATGATACAATTTACGTGACATTTTGTCATCAGATTGTTGGGGCTCCCAACACTTTAGCGGTGCTCTAATGTACTTCTACATGTACATCTCAGCAGCCCATTGTGAAATGAACAGGATGCTTGTGTAAATGAGCTTTCATCGCATTCGCAATGTGATAATGATTTCCATTTACTCAAGGAGTTTGTTTGTGGATATTGAGTGACGGGCAGGCTCATATAATAATTGCAATCGCGGCCGAATGACAAACCCTATCCATACTCCCTTCAGGGCCAGTTCATGATGCCCTTGTATTGAATTGATCAGGTACTGTACTAGAATGACAATGCTCAGTATGGCCTTGTTCATATGAGAGATGTACAGCAGCTAACTAAAAAAACTGTAGAGGCAAAACATATTCACTTTTTTTGTACATACCACGTTTGCAAATCCTTTCAAGCAATCAACTTGAGGGATATTTTAATAAGCTACGGGTTATCTTTAGAAGTCATGTTCAGATTATGTATCATGTCATCATCATGTTCACACAATACATAATGCCCCAGACTACGGAGTTACATGTACTGTAGGTTCATAGTTATGTTAAGTCATCGCAATCATGTTGTACTTAAAGCCTGTCTGCACTAGTTTGGCTAGGAGGGATTAGACCTCCATGCGTGGTCACTGACAGGCTGTTATCTCATCAAATCAGCTCTCAATTAACATAAGAAAAAGGGGATCATGGGGGACCAACGGGTACCACTAAGGCATTGTTTGCTATATAGAGGGTGCAACTACTGGAGCTTCAAGTAGTGCAGGCAGGCTTTAAATGAATGGTGATTGGGGTGAAAGAGTAGCCACATTTAATAAAGGCTGCTACACATGTATACAATGTGCCCTTCATTCTATTTGATGCAGAAATGTGAGGTGCACCACACTCACTCATTTTACTTTGCTGTAACGTTTTTTAATGACGGTTTACTAAGTGTGAACAAGACTGTACAATGTGAACGAAACAGTCATCATATTACTCATATCTGGTGGAAAATTTCATTTCATTTTGTACGTTCAGGCGTTTGACGAAGGATGAATGAAGGAGTTATGGTCTCTAGTGATAAAATAATAATCCTTATTTTTGCAAATTTTAAAGCTGATACTCTAAGACAATCCCAAATACTGAGATAATTACATAAATAGAAAGCTTTTAACCCCCATAATAACACCAAATGGTGTCCACCCGACAAAACAAGTTTAGAATAATGAATTTATTCGAGTAAACTCTACCAAAATATCTAAGTCTGAAACCCGGAAGTGCACGTAGAGTCGGGCCTCTATCCGTGACGTCACGAACGGGAGTCATGGGCTCAGTGAGAGTGAAAGGCAGTGATATCCCTACGTAAATGCTATCCTGTCAGAGCTTAGATTTGTTGTTGTTAAGGAGTATATTTGATGGATTTTCTGTTTTCATTTGAATGAAGAATAACGAAGCAACATTTTCCAGTCGCTGATTTCTTTTTATATCCTCATATTCACCTATTTGGTAGAGATTTAAGACGAGTTTACTGCTTAGGAATTAAAGTTAAATCGTGCACTTATGAATAGGCGGATGCATTATAAATTATTGTCATCAGATGTACATGAGCAGTTTTGTAAAACGAATAGGTCTAGAACTATGATAGTACTTATCATAGATGTGTGTGACTGCCTCAAAAAAGGATACAGTACCAGTTAAACATTTTATGTTGTAAAATATCAAACTTGAACGAGATCATGCAAGCGCGCTTCCTCTATAATATTTTGGCGAGTGATGCGGCTCTTGCATGAACGTTCGTGGAGCGAGCAGAATCGGGAGGTAAGACCAAGCCGCTGCTCTAGGCGCTGCTTGCTTGTGATGGAACGTACGTGCGCTAGTTATATGTTTATCGGCAATTGCAAGAGAATGAAAGTGACGTTGCCAGCTAAGAAAAACAACTAACAAAGACTTGCTCCTGACTACCGGTGTCAGAATTGGTAGATGAAGGATGTTCAGGGCCAAGGAAGGCGAAAGACATGGGAAAAAGGAAGAAGAAACCATCGGGAGATCGCTGCAGTGTATGGTAATGAACTGTGCATGGGTAGACAGCTACTGTTCACTCCGTGCCTGGGCCGATTTCAACACCAAAACAAAAATTACATGGTGAAAATATCGACTAATAGCACATCGTTGGCATGTATATGTCATAATTTTTAAAAGGGGAATTGATATTAATACTATGAAGTACTAGGGGAAGGTAAAGAATTGTACATAGAATTATGATTTATTAGACTTTTCAGCCTTTGAAACAAAAATATGCAGAAAATCGTATCACTCTGCACATGTTTGCTATGGAACATCCGGGTACGTGAATATACTCTCTCCCGGACGTGAGGTCATAAATAGTAGACCAGCGTCGTGACTGATTTTCTATGCAAAGAGAGGCGGATATTTTAGACATTTCAATTGAGGATTTCGAGTAGACAGAATTTTTTTGTGATATACTAAGTAATTGAAAAACTTAAAAATAACATATACTTGCCGTAGGTAACAAATTAAGGGACATTTATTTGCTTAGAGTATCAACTTTAATGATGTGATGACTCAGGACTTTTTTGTGTGTATACCATAACTTTGGCATGAGAATGATAACATGATGAGCTTTAGCAAAACACCAGAGCCCCGTGCCACAAAGCATAACAATTGATCGTACAATTGACTGCATTGATCACTAAATGCAATCAATCGCAAAAATTGATCGTAAGGTCAATTGCTAAGCTTTGTATTTATTCAAGGTCATCAGCAGTTTGTAATTAGTGCTATTATTTGTGACTTTTGAGCCCACATTTTTGCTAGGGGGTGATATCGCCTTTTAAATTGTATTTACACAGCCGATCTTTGTAAAGATTCATGATATGCAATTAAAGGATTAAATACCTAGGATTACAAGTTTGAAAGCACATTCAAGTGGTAGCAAAATTTTAGATTCCGAAGTTTTCGCAAAAATTGCTCAAAGCGTCATCTCTTATAACCTGTGATGTTGTAATGGCAACATTTTAAGGGTTCAACTAGGGTTATATCTGTTCTTTAGCGCAAGAAGGGCATAAAACAGATAAACATTTACTTATGAGTCAATTAACGGCCATCTGGCTGTCAACAGACGGTTTGTTAATTTTAGTTTTGTAGAAGATGATCTCATTTATCTCCTAAAGCTACGTGCATGAAGCACAGGACACGTCAGGCTCCGATCCCGGGGGAAAAAAGGACATTGATTTAATGTAGTAGGAAGGATCAATATGTAGGCACTTCATTAAAAAGCGGAGGAGACTCTAAAAACAATGAGTCACAACCAATCATCTCTCCTGGGAAAAGATGAGTGCCGTAAATCAAACCGTTTTCTGGTGTTTATGATCGGTCCAGTGGAATCTGGTGTTTGTAAAGATGCGAATCTTGATTAAAATTAAAAATTCTCTGAAGGTTAAAAAAAAAAAAGAAGATGTGTAAACTATAAACATTTGACGATCTAATCTGAATGAATGTCTTGGCGTCTTGAAACCTTCATAATTCTTTATTTTCCCTATATTTTTCTCAATATTTCTTTTGATTTTCTCATTCTTTGGGAGATTTGGTAGATTGGTTTTATGATTTGGATCTATGGTTTTATGATTTGGATCTATAAAATTACAGAGACATTCTATCTAGATGTTGTATGCCACGCCTTTATTGTTTGTGTTGTACATATGTACACAGAGAATGATAATAACTTTTCTATCTATAACTTCTCTTTGTTTTCCCCCTGCAGCAATCACAAACCCCAAAACCCAAGGCAAAGAACAACCAAAGAGCTTCAATTTTGACCACTCCTATTGGTCTACGACAACGGTAAGTTTCCAGTGTAATCGATTCTAATTACATTTCGATTGGATACCTTGTTTCATTCAGGTTTCACTATATTAAGTTCATGCCAGTGACATAGAATAACGTGAACTCTGAGTCCAAATGCAACTACAAAGACAGAGAATGATTGGAGGACTGAAGACGACAAAGAGAAGTGGAAAATGATTATTTGTCTGAAAAATAAGGAAAGCGTGGAGAATGATTTGAGAAAAGATGGAAAGGGGGGGAATTGGATAGGGATTGGTAAGTAAACAAGATTACCTATTTCACAATAGAGCAACAAAATATTAATGTTATATGGGTGTTTATATTTTAATCTGAATGGGTTTCATGTAGGAAGCCTTGATGAAGATTATTTATGTTTAAAAGGATTAAGAGGAAGACGACAAAGAGAAGTGGAAAATGATTATTTGTCTGAAAAATAAGGAAAGCGTGGAGAATGATTTGAGAAAAGATGGAAAGGGGGGAAATTGGATAGGGATTGGTAAGTAAACAAGATTACCTATTTCACAATAGAGCAACAAAATATTAATGTTATGTGGGTGTTTATATTTTAATCTGAACAAGTTTCATATAGGAAGCCTTGATGATGATTATATATATATTTGAAAGATAACAAATTGGATAGAAGAATATAAGAAGGAGAACATACATGTAATGCTTCAAAATAAAAATGGATGATGAGAAAAATGTGTCATATGGGGATGGAGAGCTTTGTGAATATTCACAGAGAGAGAGAGAGAGAGAGAGAGGGAAGAATGATAATAGAGAGAGAAAACAAAAAAGAGGAGATGAGAAGAGGGGAGAGGAAAAGGGATGGAGGGAAAGAGGAAGAGAAACAGTGGTATATCTGAAAAGAGGGAATGAGACACAGCAAGAAAGAAAGGAAATAAAGGGGAACTACTTTTAACAATCATAAATAATTAATGAATGGGAAAAAGCAACTACATTTATAAGGATATATAGGCCTACTTAATAGTCATTTTACGGAAAAGATCTCCCACAAACTGTCACAGAAATATTTCAACTGAAATGTAGTTTTGCTGATCTATATATTCGGTTCTGCTGGTGCTTAATTAATAATATGGAAAATAGGAAATAATTATCACTGATTTTGGCTGTTTATGAACAATTTCCACCACTCAGACTCCATAGAAATTCTTACACATTATTAAGTACATTTTTATGATAGTACTATAGACTTTACAGTGGTTGAAAAATATTTTGTTTTGGCATTATTGGGAGGATTTGTGCCTAATTTAAAATAAAAATAATTGTACTACGTAGGTCTGAAAAGCAATCACAATCTATAGGAAAGGTGTATAGTTCCCTTTAAAGACCAACTGTCTATATAAAGGAAAAAAACATCCTCCATGATCTACTTCGTGTCCAGAAAAATTTAATTAGAATCCTTGGTCCAAGCCAACTGCTCTCCGAGATGAAACATGGAGGTGGCAGGTTCTGATGCTAAGCGTGACTTCTGACCCAGTATGTGGCAAAGTAATTAATTCCATAATTTTTTCTCTTTTTTTGCGTTAAGGACTCTGGGAAGAAGAGGTTTCAAGGTAGAGTCCAGTACCGGTTATACGATGGCATTGTGAAAATAATCGTTTAGAAGTTTTGGGAAAGGTTGATAATGAAGCAAACTAGCAGATATGAATACTTGTGCATTGTTTGATTTTGGATTATCAAACTGATTTTAAATTTTTGACTCAATCTTGCAGGGAAAAAAACCTTTGCACATGGGTATGAATATATAATCCTTCCTGGCCAAACATTATACTACACAAACTTAGTCTTTTCAAAATTCAATCCTAAGTTTTAATCTAAACAGTAGCAATAAATATATGGCGGTATGGCGGTTCTTTTCACATGACATTGCTTTCATGATATTCTTTTACACAGTAATGATAATAATAATATCCTGCGTTTATATAGCGCTTTTAATACACCCAAGCAACATTTTACAGAAGCTCACAATGTTAAGCAAGCTTCATTAACATTCACAACCTTCTGGGTAGCCATTTAACACCTAGGTGGAGAGAGGCAAATGTAGATTAACGTCTTGCCAAAGGACATTAGTGCCATGCTGGGATTTGAACCCCATACCTACAGTCTGGTGACTTATTCACTAGACCACAACACCTCTACGAGGTATAAAAGAACAAGAATACTCACAACTTATTTTTCAACTCGCATCAGAACTTGACTGTCGCTTTAAGGGGCAGGTTGTCAAGTCATCTCATTAAAGCTAAGTGCATGGCTGGCTTCTTCACACAATTCTGTTACGATGGGGGTATAGCGACCTGATTTTAGCAACAGTAAGCTGTAAAGATGTAATTGGTTGAATTTTGGGCTGTAGAATTTCATTTACCATATAGGTCAGTGGTCAGTGGCCAACCATCATTTCTTTTACATTTAGTTGATGAGGGGTGATCAGAGTTGTCCCTAAAATAAACATGGTGTGAAATCATTTTCTGAAGGAAAAAAAAAGGAGGAATAAATAACACAAAGTTATTAAATGACAGGGGGCATCCTAACAGTGATCTTGTTTCATTTAACTTTAATAAGAATCTGAGTGAAATGCACATGTATTTAATGGAAAAAAATGATGTCCCATAGTTATTTATGCTATTAAGGGATCTTTCAGTATTTGTTAACTTTCTTACATTGTGCCTTGAGGAATTCTCCATTTGACTGATCATATTTACCCCCAAAAAATGCCCCTTTTAAAGAAAGGGCCACTTTTGTCAAGGAAAAATATGGCTACTCTCTGTCTTCCAAATTAGGTTGAATTTATATTGTAAAAATTCCACCCAGTTACTGACTAGGAAACCTAAAAAGGCAACCCCACCTTTGTAATAAGTTTATCTGTTTAATACCCCATTCACAGTGGTTTTGAAATTTGTAGCGGCGTTGTAGCGGAGCGGCGACACCGCCATAACACCGCTACAAATGCATTCACAGTAGAAAAGTTATCCCGCTGCAGCAGCGGGATAAATATCATGTACCCATTCACGCTGCAGCGGGTGATTTTTATTACCTCCGTAACAAACACGTGTATGCATGGCTCATGACCCGCGAGTGACCCCGATATGACCGGAAATACTTGCTTGAAATTGCGCGGTAAACATGTCAAGTTGCTTTTTGTATCCTCGATCATATTACTTTTTAAAAAACTAGCATTTTTATTGCTTCCAGTCAGAATATTTTAATTTTTTGAAGTGTGAAATATTTTTATTTGGATAATTATAATACCTACATAATAATAAAATCAATTTGAATCCACTGGTTACTTTATTTCTATTTCACTTTATGTTCCCCATTGCTGTAGAAAAGAGGTCAGTGATAGGTAAGTAAACAAATCACACGTGTTTGTCGCGGTGTTATAGCGGAGAGCCTTCACACTGAGTAAACACCGCGACAGCAGCGGGACTGTCCCGCTGCTGTAGCTAGGCGTCCCTAGCGATAGTTTGTGTCGGCGTTATCGCTAGGCGGTGTTATCCCGCGATAGTTTATAACGGGTCCGAGCCTTCACACTGAAGACAACACCGCGACAGCAGCGGGACAGTCCCGCTGCTGTCGCGGTGTTTGAGGCCACTGTGAATGGGGTATTAGTTTACCTTTTGCCTTTCAAAATTCTCCATTTGACTGATTATATTTACAAAAAATGCCTCTTTTAAAGGAGGGACACCAGTTCTGCCAAAGGGAAAATCTGGCTACTATCTGTCTTCCAAATTATGTTGAAATTATACTGTAACAAATCCACCCAGTTACTGAATAGGAAACCAAATAGGGCAATCCGACCTTTGTAATAAGTTTATTTGTATGAAAGCAGAAAATCAGAATAGTGGAAGTTTGAAATAAATCATACGTTTATGACGTTATGAATGTCTGAAACATGAAATCACTACATCTGTGTTTACAAACAACAATATAAATTTTGTGTTTCTCCCACAAAAATCCTTACTTACAGTATCTAACCTTAAACAATCTTTGTTTCCAGGTGCTCTTTTTTGTCTAAAAATCCCCATGTACCCCTTGATCTGCCAAAGAATTACTATTTTTGGTATTGAAGAGGAATAGTTAAACCATAAATTTGCATAATCATAAGAATCAGAAAATTACTGATATTACCGATAACAAATAGTGTTTTCACATCTCATTTAGATTTTTGTGGTTAAAGGTATCGGTGTCATCTCACTTCATGCTCTTTTATGAGAACTTAATGGCATGTTTGTGTGATATTTTGTTTTCTTTATAATGTAAGAAACTAGGAACTTTTATTCTTTGGATAATCTACATGCACAATTCCTAGGAAGTGAAAATAGCGTATCATCCTCTAAACATATGTGAAACATTACATGAGCTATAACAGTTTACTTTTATGCATGTAAATCATTAAAAGTATGACAGAAAATCACATGCAAAAGACACATGCACACACTTTTCAGAAAAGGGAGGAACCGAGAATGAATTACAGAGGAGCCTAGAGGAAAATCTGAGCCAATTTGGCAAATAACCCTCCAGACAGCTTTAAGATGCGTTATTTGAATGTCGGAATGCTATCGGAAACGGTTTTCAGAGTCTCATACCACGGTTACAGGGCAGGGCTGCCACTGCTAGTGTGTAGGAATCTGTAACATATGGTAGTTTTTGGGGAAGATGACGAGCAACAGTTTGGACTTGAGTTGGTGGAGGCTGAGCAATGCAGTGTGTGTAGAGGAATGTCCTCTTGAGTTAGTAGCCTGCAGATCAATGGTTTGTCGTCATAAACAGGGCAGGAAGCAAGAGATGGGTGAAGAGAGGGAAAAAGAGGGGGAGAGGGGGAGAGAGGGGAGAGAGGGAGGGAAGTTAAGTGGGAGGAGAAGGATATGACGTGGGCACTGGGCAGAGAGGAGATAGAGAAAAGACACAGAAAGTGAGAGAGAGAGAGAGAGAGATAGAGAGGAGTGGGAGGGATATGGGGGGGGGGGGGGGGGAGG